GTCTGCGCCTGGGAGGTGGCAGCAGCCCACACAGGTCTGGTTGGTTTTTAAATGAAAGAGAAATATGATTTGGGCCCACATTGTGGAATACTGAGTGGCCCATACCTTGATAAGAAGTTCCATAATTAGTGTAAAAAGCAAGCGAAATAGGTTTTTTTACTTTGATACATTTGTATATTGTAGTATGATTGCCACTGAGGCAATATTTATCACATTACATTATTATAGTACAGTATTATTGACTATGCTTCTTATACTGTGCATTAGATCCCTATGGCTTATTATTTACTGCTAGTTACAAGTTTGTACCCTTAAACACCATCAATCTAATTCCCCCACCCCCCATCCCCTGGTAACCCTCATTTTACTCTCTTTTGTACAGATTAGACTTTTTTAGATTCTACATATAAGTGATATTGTACAGTATTTGTCTTTCTCTGTCTGACTTATCTTGTTTAGCACAATGTGCTCAAGGTCCATCCTTGTCGTAAATGGCAGGATATCTTCCTTTCTCATGGCTGAATAGTATTCAGTTGTGTATATATGAACCACATCTTTTTTAGCCATTTATCCATTGGTGGGCATTTGGGTTGTTTCCATATCTTGCCTGTTGTGAATAATGCTGCAATAAATATGGGTGTGCATATATCTCGTCAAAATCCTGTTTTCATTTCCTTTGGATTTTTACCCAGAAATGGAATTGCTGGATCATACGGTAGATATATTTTTAATATTTGAGGAACCTCCATATAGTTTTTCCTAGTGGTTGAACTAATTTACATTCCTACCAACAGTGTATAAGGGTTCCCTTTTCACCACATCCTCACCAGCATCTGTTTGTCTTTTTGATAATAGCCATCCTAATAGGTGTGAGGTGATATCTCACTCTAGTTTTGATTTGCGTTTCTGTGATGATTAGTGATGTTGAACATTTTTTTCATGTACCTGTTGGCCATTTTGATGTTCTCTCTGGAAGAATGTCTAATTAGTTTGTCTGCCCATGTTAATATCAGATTTTGTTTGGTTTTTTGTTATTCATATATGTTAATTCTTTATATATTTTGGATATTAGCCCCTTATTCAAAATATGGTTTGCAAAATTTTTTCCCATTCTATAGGCTGCTGTTTCATTTTGTTGACTTTTTTTTTTTGGCTGTGTAGAAGCTTTTGAATTTGATGTTGTCCCATTTGTTGATTTTTTACTTTTGTCATTTGTGCTAGCAAAAGAGGTTTTTAAATAAGAGAGTGACGGACTGTTCATATAAGAAAAATACCATAGAGCAATGTAGAGAATAGACCAGAGTGGAGGAGAAACTTGTAGTAAGAAAATAATGAGGAAACTGTTAGAATAGGCCACCTGATAGAGGCCATGTCTTAGCGGTGGTGGCAATGGAGAGAAGCTAGATTATCGTACCTACTGGGTGTGCTGGTTGAACAGAAGGGAAGAAGTAAAGATCTAAGGTTGCAAAGAAACCTTATTACAGAATAAGCTCCTTTACCATTCTACTACCTGTGTTCTAGGGTACCATCCTCTCCTGGGATCCCAATCCTGAGGTACAGGGATCCCAGAGACATGAGAGGGCCAGTGAATGCACTGAATTTATGGGCAACAACTTGGAGACATGAAGATCCATAGTCTTCATCAGATTCTCATCTCAGATTCAAGGGGAAAACTTTTAAAAATTGTAAGTCGATGTGTTTAATAGGTACTTTTCTAGGGAGAGACTCCATGTTTTTCATCAGTTCCTTTTAGTAGATTATAACACCAAATAGCTGAAGAACACTGATCTATCTGAATACCCTTTTATTTTTTCACAGATTTTCTTTATATTTAGGTCCAGTTGTTAGGACAGGGATGCAGGGCAGTGTGGCGTAAAATACATGGGTTTAAGTCAGAGATACCTGGGTTGGCATCCAGGCTCTTCAATAACGCTGCGTGACCTAGACAGAATTGCTTAAACTCTAATAACTGCAGTTTCTTCATTTGTAAAATGAAGAGAGTAACATCTAGTTCAAATATGGGGCTATTCATAAGAACTTATTAGCCCAGCACTTAGTTGAGTGGCTGGTCAATAGAAGGCATTCAATAAGTGATAGCAACAATGAACACTTGTTATTATCCTTACATTTATTAGATAGCCATGCTGAGGCTCATCTCAGTTCTCTCCCCTCTATGAAGCATTCATTTATCACCCCATCTAAAGTCAATCTCACCCTTTTCTGAGCTCTTTGCTTGTACTTCCTCTTGAGATCTACCTTACTTTTACTGAGATTATAGTGTATATGTCTTCGTCTCGTCCAGTTTACTAGATATTAGGGCTTTATTCATCTTGTATTCCCTTTAGTGGTGGCGATCATACATTCTACACAGGTGAGGCACAAAATTTAAATATTTTGTATACAACACAATATTTAATATTTTCACAGTATATTTGGTTCAGTGGCACCTATCAGAGCACTTGTCACACCATATTGTCTCCCTGACAACACAGTGGATTCTGTGGGCAGAGTCTGTTGTGTATTCATGGTGCTTACATTGCATTAGAGAAAGAAAAGTTTGATCATGGGCTTCTTGGACTTGAAAAAACTTGGCTTTTACTTTTACTCTTTAGAAAATAAATATTAGATGTCCTGTCACTTATGTGATATGATATAAAACCTTAAATCTTTATATAGTATTGGAAGTATTGTATTAAAATTCCCATATTTTCTAAAACCTCATGTAACTCAAACATCTGGAAAAACCTAGTAACAAATAATGTATAGATAGTTCAGATTTGGTTTTGATACTGTCATCCTTCACATAATAATTTCTGTATGTATTTTTCCGGTAAGTAATTTATCCCAAAATAATTACGTAAATTAAAATTTCAGGAAGGCTATGAAACACTAACAACTCAGTTATATTATCTCAAAACATTATAATCACCTCACTGAGTAGCAAAAATAGAGGTCAAAGCATTTTGGTTGTCTCAATGTGGCTCTTCTGTTTTGATTTTTTTACAGTTACATCTGAACACAATTTTTTATATCAACAATGATGCCATTTTAAAATATCTAAATGCAAAAGGGCTGTACAATAAGGAAAACCACTGCGGTCTCATTGGAAAAATTTTAAAGAAACATTTTGTGATTTTTTTAAGTGTATAAAGTAGACAGAAAACAACTGGCACCCCATTAAAGCAAACTCATGTAATCATAGTGCACAGCTGTCAGACAACCACGTTCCAAAACATCTAAACCTTCCACATGCTTAGACGGCCCTGTGCTTATTTATCACAGCACCAATCACGCTCTATTTCCATCATCTATTGACTTGTCTGTCTTCCACACTGGAAGGCATTACTTTCTTTTCAAACCATCTTTACACTCCCAGAGCCTATCTAGTACCTGGCACGTGGAAGGCAATAAATTGTTGTTTATGGAATCAATTAACAAAGTAAACAATTATCTAATTAATTAAATGACCTCTGTGTTTTCCAACAATTTTCAAACTTCAATGTGCAGAAAAATTACCTGCAAATGTAGTTTTAAAATGTAAAGCGATAACTTCTGCACACATGGATTCTAATTCCATAGGTTATGCAGCCTGAGAACATGCATCTTAACAAGGCCACCAGTGTTTCTGCTTCAGGAGCAAAGATCACTCTTTAAAAATATTGATAGAATATCATTCATGTGATTAAGAACTCTTCTTGATTCAGGTAAACTTCTGCAAAATCATTGGGCTGTTGTTCACTGATTCTGAATTGAGAGGGTCAGAGTGAGTGAGGACTGAACAGTGTAAGAAGAGTCCTGAGGGGCTCATGGGGCACGCTGGTGAAAGGCTTTGCCCAAACTTTCCCTGATTCTGTGTCTGTTAGATTTGTGAGGTTTGCATGAATAGCAGGTAAAGCTAAAGACAAACTTGACGATGTGGGCAGACTGCAGGACAGCCTAAGGATCCAAATAAAGGCTGGTCTTCCAGTTGGGCTGCATTGGGGTCACTGTCCAAGAAATAAGCAGGGAGAAAAAATCTAGGCCAGGTAACAGAAGAGCATCTCAAGATACAGATCATGCAAGCATACTGACACCAGAAAACTCTGAGTGTGACTTCAGATACCTAGACAAACCCATCCTTCCTCAGTTCCTATTTTAAGTTTCTCAGTGTTAGCTGATGGGAGCTAGCAAAGTATCTGCTGCTCCCAGAGTTGGATATGCTTCTTAGGTATTGGTCATAGTGGAAGGTTAGATCATCTAAAGTGTTTATACTTTCAGATTCCCCAGAAGCTTTGAAAAATATTGGTCAAATTCTTGGACTCTAAGCCAGATCTCATAAATCAGTATCTCCGGGGAGCACACGATGGGAATTGATCTATGAGCATTCTTTAGGTGGTTCAGATGATTGGCCTGGTGTGGGAGCCATAACTTTAAAAAGCCTTCATAGATATTTCATTAATGAAAAATTTGTATTGTATTTATTAGGAGTCATATCTTTCTGCCCCCCATCTTTAGCCCCACACGTTTCTGCCTCTTGCACACAACTCCTCTCCTCATATGTCTCTTAGTAGCCTCCTGTCCAAAATTACTTTGTCGTAGACTTGCTTTTTTAGGTATTCTAACCCTCTACACTTAATAGTAATTTCCTCCATTCCTTTTCCATCAATTTTCAGTCTGAAGACTTATTTTTCTCTCCTTTTATTTCCTCTGCACAATTTATATCCTAAAGCACACTCAAATTGCATGTCATAATGTCATATACCCTCTCCCCACCCACTTTTTCATGCATACGCACATAGGTAGCACGTTAGCTGGCTTACATTTCTAAAAACAATCAGGGGCCAATGACTGTGTGAACAAGTGAGCAAGGTCATTATTAATCTTAAAATGTCAGAATAAAGTTCTAAAATGGAGAAAGTTGCTTAGAAAAATGGAAGATGAGTTCACAATTGAGCGGGACGCCTAAGACATTTTACATTCCGACTTGTTTTAACAAGATTCTACTGCTTTGTAATTCATTT